AAAAAAAAAAAAAAAAAAAAATCAGAAATTATTTGGAGATTTCTCTTTGATAGCTGGGAATCTACAGACAGAATGGAGTCCATGCCTTTACATAGGATTTTATGTAATTATTTTGCTAGAGCAAGAAAAGTATCTAAATGCTGTACTGATTGACCTTTTAAAGAACCGTGTATATAGTTCTTTACGTCTGCCCATACTAATTGATCTGTTGCATTTGAGATATTTGTTTGCTCCTTGAGCACATTTTGCATCACATAATTTTGCAAGCATTTGGCTGATGTCCAAATTACAATTGCCATAATGCTATGAAAACATCTGCTGGCTTAAGATACAAGACACTTTTTCATAGAGTATTTAAAGCATATTCAGAATACAATATTTTTTGAGAAAGGTCTCACTATGCATTGCAACCTGGTCTGGAACTTACTATGTAGCCTAAGCTGACCTCAAACTCAGGGCAATCCTCCTGTCTTATCCTCAGGCGTTCTAGGATTAGAGTCATATGCCATCATACCTGGCTCAAACTCTAATTTAAAACCTAAAATTTAGTATATTGAGGAAGGTGCTTTTTGGGTCTAAAAGTTTCCTTGATAATATAATAATTATATATAATAATATTTCAAGTGTATAAAATATACTTTTTAGCATATTCACTTTATTCTAAAATTATTTTATTTGTTTATTTTTTTAATGTTAAAAATTGAACCCACGTTGTTAAGTGTGATAGGCAAGTACTCTACCATTGATCCACATCACCACCCTGTATTTGTTTTTTTAAACAAACAGAATGTATGTGATGTATGTGTCCTAAGGTTATCATTGGCCATGAATCCTTTTTTTTTTTTACTTCTCTTAGCCTCAAAAGCCAGATAGTCCACTGCTGTCCTTTATTGAAAAATCAGATTCACCATTCTGTGACTGTTCTGATAGCCTCAAACCAGATAGTCCACTGCTGTCCTTTATTGAAAAATCAGATTCACCATTCTGTGACTGTTCTGGACTGTTTTATAAAGATGAGGCCCTGGAGAAAGAGTTGAATGGTGATGTATAAAATGCTTACATTTCTAAACTTTGATTATCTCATAGAGAAGATTTGTTATATTTCATAACTTACTCAATGATTTTTTTTAAACAGACATGAGCAAGGAAGTTAAACTAATGTTTTTTGCATATGCGAACATCTTAAGGCAAGTATTTACAGTATATTGTCTTGGAACTTTATGTTAGAAATAGTAGTTTTCCTCTAAAAACTGTAATGGGAAGTTTAATTCTAAGGCTGAAAAAGTATATCAAATAATTAAAACTTTGAAATTTTTATTTTATTTCAAATTCCTTATAATAGATTGTGTTTCAGGTTCCAACTACAACTTTTCCTTTAAACATCTCTTGTTTTGCTATTGCCAGAGCTAATACTAGATTGGATATATTTTGACCTCTAATTAGAGATCATGATACTAATGTTAAATTTTATGTAAATATCACTTGATGAAATTAATATTACTAATAACATATTGAAGATAAATATTTTATGTATTTATGTTTTCTTTACATATGTTTACATTTAAATATTTATTGGCCTGATATTATTTTATGAGACTAGTGTATTATGAAGTGGTATTTTAAACCACTTGGAAGTCATTATACTTATGTGTAATGGTTTATGTGGCTGTAAAAATAATTTATGTAGTTTAATATTAGAATTATAATGCATAAGATGCATATTTCTCTGTGTCAAAAGACTTTTTGAGCAAAATTATGAGTATTTGTGGGACTAATTTAACCTTTTCCTTTTTCTGAAGAGGTGAGTACATTAAGCTCTCTCATGTCCAAACCTATTTAAGTGAAATAGTTAACAAATATAGTATAATAAATAAATCACCATGATGGTATATTTAGGCTTTATAACTTTAGTTTAACCTAAAGCTTTCTTTTTTCTGTTAGTGAGAGAGCAGCAGTAGATGCATCTTACCTTAATGAGATAGATGGACTCTTCAAAGAAGCCGATACTATTGAGAACTTTCTGATACAAAAAAGAGAGCACCTGAGACAGAGGCTTACAGTGATTACAAACACACTGAAAAGATAAAAATGTGTACTTAAAATAAGTTGAGAATTTAAGCCTGTTATTGTTGTAATAAGTGAATGATGTTTATACTCTGAGAGCTCCCTAGATGGTAAAGATAATATATATCTGAAACAGAGATTTTTTTTCTAGACTTAAAAAAGAACTTTAAGTTGGACATTAATATGAAGTATGGAACTTTTCTTTTGAGGGTTAAATATTTGGAACTCCCTTGGACTTTTAGCCTTTCTTAAACTTTTAGAAGAGGACTTAGTTCATTTTATTATGTTTAACAATATGGTACTTTTTTCTTTTAGAATACTTTGTTTAAGTAGCAGATAGATTTAGGGAGAATTTTGAAATAGTTTTAGTGGTCAGTACTATAAAATAATTTTAAACATGGAAGGTAATTTGTCTAGTTTCATAATGTGTAATAAAATATAACTCCTAATGCTATATAATAGTACCATTTGCTTTTTTCACTATTAGTTTTTATATATGACTAATAAAAGTTTGGCTTAAAATTATTTTCTTGTGATAAAATAGTAAAATAAAAACCAGAAAATGCTAACTAGCACCTTGTATGAATGGGTTTTTACACATTAATTACATCAGTTTGTAGCTAATGAATTGTATTCATCATGGTGGTATGGGATAGAAATTAGTGATCCAGAAATAAGGAGACTGGCTTAAACAAGATAACTTTGGCAAATCACTTCAATCTTATTATATATATAT